CAATGCACCTGCATTGGCCTCCCAGAGTGCTAAGATTACAGGTGTGAGCCACTGGACCAGCTTTAAATACATCTTTTATTCTTTCTAGTGGTCTGAATAACATTTGGCACATTATAGAAGCTTCTCAAGTATTTGTTAAATAAAATGGATAAACATTTAGGAACTGTAAGTCCATCTTTGCATAAAGGGCGTGTTTTTGTTTAGTTTTCCAGTACTTTTCTGCTATGACATTTGATGCTGTGAGATACATTTAAGCCCAGTATAACTTATAAACACATTTTCTGAAGTAATTCTCCAAATTTTACTCTTCTTTTTCCAAACAAACAATACTACCATTTTGAATGTTACTCAAGGTGCTACGATTCTCTTCCCCTTAGAAGAGAATCTGAAACAGAAAAGTTATTACTATATTTTGAATGAACCAATAAATTTATGGATCATATCTTAGTATAGCAAAATGTGCTCCAAGCTGATTTGACTAGTGACACAATGAGTCTGTGTAATTTTATGATGGGCCTAAATACTATTTTCTTTTTTTCTCTTCTTTCTTTTGCATACTTTGTTAGTAATTAAATTCTCAATAAAATAATACGTTTACTGTGTATATGTTCAACGTATGATGATGTTTTAACTACCATTGTACATACATGACCAGTGACTGTTCGATAGTCACAGTACCCAATTATTCTCCCTCAAAGAATTCCAAACTTTGTTTCTATGCTATTATCAGTGTAAACTATTTAATTCCGGTAACTATTTAATTTTGGCAATTTTGAATTGCCAAAACATGAAGCAATCAGCTAAGCTTTGACACTGTGATAACACTGAGGGCAATATTTCTTTAGTGGGTAATGTTTCTAAGAATAAATGTGACCAAATGTTTGCAGACAAAGGTTAGACAAAAATAAATGTGCTACCCAGAAGCCTTACAAAATAGATGTAATTCAGTTTGCAATGACTGTTTGCCCAAGATGCTACTATTGTCTATTTAGAAAAAGAAGAGAAAAATTTGGAGAATTATTTCAGAAAATGTGTTTGTAACTTATACTGAGCTTAAATCTCACAGCATCAAATGCCATAGCAGAAAAGTACTGTAAGACTAAACAACAATACTCTATGCAAAGATGGACTTAACAGTTTCTACATCTAACAAATACTTGGGGAAAGGCTACATTTCTAGCTAACACTTCTGAGGAATTCTTAATCATATAACTTTAATGCGTTATAAGCTTTTTAAGGAATGAAAAGAAAACAACTATAATTTTTCAGCATTTATAAGAATAAGTATACTAAGTATAAGTATATGCATATACATATATATGCCATTTATAGGACATGTAATACATAGTATTCATATGTATATTTACATCATGTCCTCTTTTTAACTTGATTGACAAATAATAACTATACATTTGTGATATAAAATGTGGTGTTTTAATATACGTATACATTGGGGAATGAACAAATCAGGCCCATTAACATTTTTATTACCTCACATAATGGTTATTTCTTTGTGGTGAGAGCATTCAAAATCCACTCTTCTGGTAACTTTGAGCTAGAGAATTTACAAATACAAGTTGTATATATTTATGGTGTACTACAAGCCCATCAGGTAAATGTTATGATCCCATTTTAGAGGTCAGAAAAATGAGGCAAAAATAGTTTCTGGGATAATTGTCAACTGTCAAAAATGCTAGAGCACTGTATTTAAGAGATTTTTCTGAAAAAAATTGTTTATAGATAGCATGTAATAAATGTGGGTTTAATTGAATCTTCAGGAGAGACAAAAGGAACTAAAATTTAATGTGTCAACTGTGTCCCCAACACCATGCTGTTTGCTTTTATATTGAGCATGTAAATTAATTCTTTCCCTAACATGGTAAAATAAGACACAATTATCCTGACTTTAAAAATGATGAGACGGGTTTATAAAGGTTAAATTAATTACCAATGACAGGAGATACTCACTGAAAATTTCCTTTCTTGCCCTGTAGTATTATATTCGGGCTCCTCCCACAAATGACTGACTCAGAATAAAGCTAGAAGGCATTTAGGGTCAAACAAAAGTTTTTGGCTTTTTGGAGCAGGACACAGCTCATTATGTTTTTAAAGATTTTAGAGAAGATGTCTACTTGAGCTTTTAAAATATCCACTTCCCAAAATTTGATGCATTATGTATGTATATTGATTTTGGAATATTTGCATATATATGAATTTAAAAGTAAAATATTTAAATATAATCCTTGATATATATGAAAAATAAATTTTTGGTCACAAAGCAGAAAAGGAAAAAGGAAAATGCTTTTACCTCTGTGTTATAAAATTGGAACAAAAGTTCATTTTACTAACTAATATTTAATCCAGTATTATGACTTTGAAATTTTTTTTGTTTATTTTTGTTTTTGTTTTGAGACAGAGGTCTTTGTCACTGCTGGTAGAATGCTATGGCATTATAGCTCACAGCAACCTCAGACTCTTGGGCTCAAGCAGTCCTCTTGCCTCAGTTTTTTATTTTTAGTAGAAACAGGGTCTCACTATTGTTCAGGATGGTCTCGAATTTCTGAGCTCAAGCAATCCACCCACCTCGACCTCCCAGACTGCTAGAATTACAGGAGTGAGCCACTGCACCTGGCTGACTTTTAAAATTTTTAATTTGCAATAACTGAAGACGTTGACTCTAGGGAACATAAAGATATGCAGAGAGTTAAAATCTTGATAGAAATCGTATGAACGCTACTCTTCATTGTTGTGCCTGATTGCTAAAATAACTAAATATCTAGTTAGACTAGCTTACTGTGAAATTAAAGGGAAAATAAGAGTAACAAATTAAAAAAGTAAAAACAAATAAATAAAATGGCTGTAAAAGTACAGAACCTTTTGGAACATTGGGTAATTCTCTTATAGCAGGATTAAAAATCCTGTAGTTAAGTCAGGATTTACTTTAGGGTTGTATCATTCAAGAGAAATTCAGTAGAACCTCCATAGGTGACCACCTTTTATGTAACCTCCTTACACTGACCACTGCCTTAACATCCACGGGTCATGGAGCACTCATCTCAATGGAAGCTCCTTACAGTCATTACCTCCATATGTTAATCAGTTTGCTGTAATCCCTTGGGCAGTCAGCTTACAGAGGTTCTGTCATACATGCCTAGAGGCCTGGAGTATAGACAAATTCAGCTCAATGATAATTATTTCTATTTTTTAGATATGCTACATCATAGACTAGATACGATGACTTTTCTCACTTCCTAAGTGGCTGTTAAGTGCATGGACCATGGTTGCCATCATAATTTTTAACAAATATTTCTTGAATTGAACAGCTGCTTGCTTGCCTAATATTGGACCCAAAGTCCAAACCTAGCCATGCCATTTAACTTTAAAGTCACACCCCCTTCTTCTAAAAGCTTAGGGACATATTTACTAGACAAATTCTAAGAAAGGAAGTTTTATGATAAGTTCGCAGACATACGAGCTCTGTGAGAATCACCAGGGCTCGACAGCTCTAAAATCATGAAAAAACACCCCTCAACCCCATGTGCTTTAAGTCTCAGAATGATAAGAAAAATGTGTTTTCAATCATTCCCCAAATGGATGCATTTCAATAGGAGAAGAGATATGTCTCATATTAATACTTAATTTTTAAATACTCAGGAGCTCTATTAAAATTCTCTGGCAAAATCGTACCATGCTTTCCTTCCAGTGGGCTCTCAGTCAAGGTTTTGGCAGGCTCTGACTGATTAGCAGGTTTTTTCCTTCCCAATCACATTACTGAGCACACCCAAATGGAGCTCTGGGAACTCACTGTTTGAAAAACACTACTTTACTTAAGTACATGAAAGGCTTGTTTAGACTATCTATAGGAGATACAACTCGAGGTAATGGAGTGTAATAGAGAAATGTGAAATGTCTTCAAAACAAGATCACTTACTTATCCTCTATATTCTTATCTATACATGTAAGTGTGAAATCAAGCTAATTTTTCACATAGCTCGAGTCCATTATTCAATTAAGGGAGCCTCCGCATGTGTGTACAGCTTATATACGCTGAACCATTTCATGAATGGTCACATAAGCCATAGTTTAATGACAATAACTTTCAGATGTAAGTGGAAAGTTCTTCACTTCTCCTCTCATCATGATTTACAATTCTGTCCCCTTCACTCAAAGGAAGGTTGATGAGAGAGGAGAAGTGTGGAAGATGATCTCAAGCTGCAAACTTTAAACAGCCATACCGAAGCTCAGGGGCGGCTCTGCATGAAATGAACAGGTGCACAGTCGCACTCATTCAATAGTTGTTGGGTGGATGGACGGGCAGATGGAGGGATGTCTCCTAAAGAGGTACCAACTTTCACATATTCTGAAAGGTTAAATGGCTCCAGATATTTTAGTGATATCAAAAATTCCTAATTTCCACTGTTACAAAGACAACACAGTATAAATGTGCCTACATACCTCTGCTGTATCTTCCCTGCACTGGAATCAGCACAATTGATTTTAATACTTTTAATAAAAATTATACTTCCTCACTCATCAAAGTTTTTGGGAGCAGTCTTTATGTTCTTTTATATGCAAGCAGTATTTTCCTTCCCCCCTCCCAATCTGAAAAGGAAATAAGTATTAGTTTTGATATTGGAATCCTCCTGAAACTCTCCCGGACACTCTAAGCCAATCTATAACATTGGCTAACTTCTGTCCTATTTAGCTAAGTGTCTAACACCCTAATACTAAATATTTATCTATGATGGTAGAATCGATTGTATCTAATGTTAATAAGACCCAGAAAAAATCAGAAAGCTCTTTTAGAAAGATATTGTGAGTTCAAAATTTAAGCTTGTGAATATATTCTCTGAAGTTAGAAACGGGAAAACTGTCAACAGAATTTCATGAATGATCCTTCTAGATGTTTCTACATAGCAATCAATGCAATTGCATTGAGTATCTACTTGCTCATATAAAATAAGGTATTCACTACACCAAAGGGAAGAGGAAATTCTTACCACCTTCTTTAGTGCAGAGGCTGACGAGGTTGTGGACCGTGTCCATCAGTTCCAACTGCTGCTTCTGAAGGACACTGTTGTTGGTGGTGGCTCTGTTTAATTGTTTCTCCAGCTCCTGGATTATATATGTTTGGCGAGTAACCAAGTTTTGAAGGTTCTCTTTCTCTTCCTTTAAGGAGTCCAACTCTTCCTTGTGCTTTCCCTCCATTTCTAAGATTTTATGCTCTAGTAAACTATAAGGAAGTAAAAATAAGACTTAGTTTGGACAATGCTACTCCTAAAAAAGCACCCCACTAAGAGCCTTATGATTCTATTAGTTCCTAAGTTTACTTAAAATTAGAAATTTTAATTAGATATTTCACCATAACGTTTCTTAAATTTGAGACTCGTGAATACATATATATTTAAAGTAAGTTTATATATAATATGTAATATATAAACATGCCAAAGGAGCAATCATTAAACCAGATACTTTCAGAGTAAGGTTTACTTCCTAATTAAATCCACTTCCTTGGGGGTGTCTTATTTGCAGGGTTACTGACTTAGACTCAGATAGTCACCATCTGGAGAAGTTATACTTCAACTTCATTAATGAAAAAGGCCCAGTATGAATCAAGGATTAAATCTTACAATAATTCTGTGGGATCAAGAGCAGTAATATTGACACAGAAAACACAGGACCGGAAGATAACCTATCTCATGTTGCAGTGAATTCCTGAGACTTTGGATACCTGGTCCTGTATAATAATCACTAGCTCACTTTGTTTCTGAACTCAAGGTTTACGGTTAGGCTTACTGCCACCTCAAGTTCCCAGATCAGTATCTAAATAGTTAAGTAAAGGAAGACTCCACTGAGCTGGTGGCAGGGACTTTTGGATGCTTTGCTCAGAGTGCTGCAGCCATCCCCTGGGGATCTCCCTCTCTCTGAGCTCTTTAAAGGATACTCCCTTTGTACATTGCCCATTAAAAATGATAGAGAATGCAGAAGCACTCTTGGATCCTAGCAACTGACTGGAATAAAAAGCATTAACATTTTATAGAGTGTCTAATATACAAGTATGTCTCAGGGGAAAAGCTTATTCAGTTTCTTTAGTTCTGTTTTTAGAAGGTTCAACCATTCCTTAGTTTACAAGGTGTTATTCAAATGCAACATACAAGAATGGGCACTTTAATTTACCCATTAAAATTGGAGAAACAGAGCCCTGAATCATTAGTATCAATTTTTGAAAAGGGGACACTCGGGAGTGTTTTAAATTCAATACATAAAATAATAAAATAAAGTAGATTGAAAAAGCCAAATTTTCCAACTCCATGAATTGGGGGACAAGCTTTAACATGGGACTGTCCTTTACGCAGATTAAGAGGTACGGAGACAATTGCTCGTGGGCGCTCAGATCTGTGCCCATAAACCAGGCCTCCAGGCAAAGGCAGGGAAGTTGCCTGTGAAGCCAAGCCTGAAAAATACCTCGATATTTTTATAAGCACACATATAAGACCTTACTAATCTACAGCATCTTTGGTAGCGTGCCCAGATTCACATGTGACAATTTCATATCGAGACCCATTAGGGGAAGCTCTGTGACTTCTGTAAGATAAGAAAAGCTACATTTCAGTTTCTAATTGCCTTCATTCTACTGGGCACAGCAGAGAAAGCAGCTCCGCCTGGGAGTATCACAAACCCAATTAGGATAGAGAAAGGCAAACTGTGATGGTCACTTATTACAAATTTTTTTTTTTTTTTTGAAATGAGAAACTTAGTCAAGGAAATGAGAATAAGATGAAAGACAGTATCTCTAAGGGGTAGGGTGTGACTCACCATCTTTTCGTATTTTTTCCTATGCCAATAAACTGTTGCTGTTGGAGAAGTTCATGGCGAAACAAAAACGAACAAGAAAAAACAACTGCCCTGTCTCTATGGGGTCAAAGCTGTATTCCATCTTCTGGCTAAGTGGTTAGTGCACTTGCTGTGCGTGTCAAAGGAGGTTTGCTCAGTGCCTATTAATTTTTAGTCTTCAGACCTGAGAATTAATCACAGCCACTGGCTTAGCTGATTCTCAACTTACTTTTAATTACTTTTTCCTTCTCTTGTGGTAACGATCAGATGCAAGACGCCCATAATTTGGAGTCATTAACCTATAAGAAAATCCCCTTTCAAATTCCCCTGGAGTTATAGTCCACTACCAACTAAATTTAGCAATAACTGTTAAAATGACAACCATGTGTATTTCAGAATTTGGAAGCTAGTGTCATATAATATTGGATAAAAATTCTGAATTGCTATTTTTCCCTGAAATGAAATAAACATGTGTCTTTCAGTTTTCCTAATCAGCAGGTAACATTCTGGTTTAGAAAATGTCATGTTATAACTTGTATTTTATTAGTTGCTAAGTGCTAATAGTTAAATAAAATATAAAATGACACTTTTCTTACCCGACGGATTTCTTTCTAGAGAGACAATCTCAAATGTAAAAAACAGCAGCTATAAGAAATTTCTGTTTCGGGCATGATACATGTTTTTGGACTTAGTGAGTCCAAAAGTGATTTTCCACTTTTTACGTCTGATGTATCCCTTGTTCAAAAAGACATATACTGAGGGAAGACGTCTATCTGAAATGTAGATGTTTTGCTTGTTTGTTTTGTTTTGTTTCACAGGATAATTCTAAAAGAGCTGACAATGGAAAGTTGATCAAAGAAGTTCGGGTGCCAAAGGAAACAATTCTGGACAGCAGCTTGTGGAAAAAAGACCTACATTTCCCGAGTAAAAGGAATATATGGTAGTATGTTGGAAAGAACATTAATTTTCATAGTTCACTAACCAAATTTAATGTACTATGACTAGCAGGTATCAAAAGACATGAACGCAGCCTGTCATCCTGAAATAGATACCCACGTAGAGTGCAGAAGAGACCATCCATGGAAAAAAGAAGCCTGCTCTACATCACAGACATCTCCGGGGATTTGGAAACCCAAATAATGTGCATGACAACTACCAGCAAATTGGAAACATGTTACATTGTTTTCCAAATGGCAGATCTCACCAGTTAATTATTTCTTCTGTTCATTTTCCCATCCCATATTTTCACTTGGAGCTTCCTTAATAATGTCTGTAGTCTAGTAATTCTCCATTAACTTTATTTATTGGGGACATCCTTCATAGTAATTATAACTTTTTAGACTTCTTCAAGCAAAGCTGATCTCTTCTTGACCCTTGCTTTGACAGCCCTCATTCCTCTGTTTCATCTTCTCCTCATATTTGGCTTCCAAAGACTGTATTCTCTTTCCCCTGAATTCTTCTTATCCATTGGTTATTTCCTACTTTGGAAGTTAGCCCTTCCCTGCCTTTACTTCCAAAATGGTTTCAATCCAAAATTTACTTGCCAGAGCAATCTGTATACTATCTCCACTGACTCTCTCATTCTTGTAATATGCCAGTACAGTTGTGTAGCATTTAAAAAGCCATATCTCCTTTGATTCTTAAAGCAATATAGTAATAAAGATCAAGTAAATATTACTAGATTCCACACACAGGACAATTTTCAGGATAATCTGAAAAGAGCTGAGAATGGAAATATCTTATCCCAAACCATGTAGGTATTAAGTATCAGAACCAGCAGGTCTTCTCCTTCACTAAATCACAAATCTGCCCATGACATCCTTCTGTTGTGACAATGAGTGTTACATAGTCTCGTCTCTTTGATTTAGTACAATGTAACTTCTTCCTATATCTGCTCATTCATTTTATACCAGGAACCAAAGCATCACCTTAGCATCTCTATAGTAATCGCTACTCTCCGTCTGTTTATTCTGAGAACTTGTCTTCCACCATATTCACCCGATCCATCTTTCACTCCCATAGAAACAATATTTCTTTGCCAAACCAGTTTGTTAAATGTAGTCTGAGATTTTACGTACAACTCTACCTTAACACATCTGTCATTAAATTTAATGTTTTCATTCAATACCCTGATCACATTCCATTTTGTTCCTGAAGCCCTTCACTGGTGCTTTAACATTTTCCCTACTCATGTTGGTGGGGAGAGGCCACCGCAGCTAGGTAGGGAGACTGTATAGAAGCTGGTCTGAAGGACAGCTTTGCAGCTCCAGTAATGTTAAGTAGGCTAAGTGGTCATATTTTGCCCGATGACAGTCTCCAAGAGCGAGTTTCACTTAGGTTGAAGTGTGTAACACGAAACCTGGATGCTGATTCCAAACTCTGTTCGAGAGTGTGTTCAGTACATTTTTTTAAGGCTAAATAAGAGCCTCAGTGTTAAGTTTGGAGGAAGCCTAGATTACATCAGCAGTTTTTATTAAGATACATCTTTCAGGATTAGTGTTCTATGTAATAATAATTCATGAAATGTGCACCTAAGTCCGTACAAATCGAGCAAGAAGCCCAAAGACAGTTTCTCACAGGCTTCTCGTTTCTTCCTCTTTCCCATCTTTCTGAAAACACTTCGAGATGAGACATGCATAGAGTTTTGGCACTTCGCTTCCAGTTCGAGGCAGAGGTGCATTTCCATGAAGAATAAAGTAAACAGAATAATCTAGGGCTTGACCTTTACCCAGAGAATTGAAATGAGTGTCCACAAAGCCCTATTTGAAGTTTTACACAGTCCCTTCCCTCCAACACGTTACTGGAAATATTTCAAATCATTGAACACATCTTGAAACTTTCACAGAAAAAGCTCTGTCTTTTAAATTGTTTCCCACAATAGAGTTCTTAACATAGCAGCCAATGAATTCACAGTGGTGACAGTTGCCTAAGTTCTTTGTGTGTAAATATAGCCCTTCAAACAAGAAAGAAGATGTTGAAAATACAGAAACCTAATTTTTATCTGTCTGAACCCATGTATAGATATTTCAATGTTTGTCGTTACCTTAAGTACGTATGGAGTCAATGTGTGTTACAAAAAAGGTTTGGAAAGAGTGGTTTCTTTCACTTTATTTAAACACAGGTATATGTAGTTCAGGTTCAACTTCTCTTTTCTCATTTGAGCATAGTAAATATTCTCTCAAAATCTGCAGTCACCTTTGGTAGTACAAATTTGAAGCAGAACCCCAGATATTATAATCAAACATTAGGAAATGCATTTGTAAAAGGTTTGGGTAAATGAGAATTAGTGATGTTGCAGAAGTCTGAAATGAAGAAGAAAAAAGGTTGATACATTTCATGCCATAAAATATAATTACTTCTCTTCAAAATAGGTTGAAAAATAAATAACTAGAGAAAAAA